CCCCCCCCCCCCCCCCAGGTGGAGATGTTCGGGGTGACGGCGGCGGAGAGCGGGGAGGAGAGCGCCGCCCTGCTGGAGGACTTCCTCGCCCTGCAGAAGGAGATCTTCTCCGAGCTAGGGCTGCACTACAGGTGAGCAGGGGAGGGGAGGCTGGGAGTCCTGCAGGCCCCTGTCAAAAGGGGAGTATGGGGCAGGGGTGAGGGGCACCCCCACAAGGGTTACCCTGCCGCCCTCCTTGGCGGCTCAGGGCCACTTCCCCGCTGGGCTGGGAAGTCGGCACCAGCACCCTGCTCCGGACCAGGTGCCCCGAGTGCTGGGATCAGTCCATACCTCCCACCGCCTGCCTGACTGGTCTCTCTGCGGCAGGGTCCTGGATATGCCCACGCAGGAGCTCGGGCTGCCCGCCTACCGGAAATACGACATTGAAGCCTGGATGCCCGGCAGGGGCAAGTATGGTGAGGTGAGAGCCGCCACCTGGAGCGGTGGGCGTGGGGGGGAATCCAGGCGCCAAGCGAGCAGCTTGTCCAGGGGATCTGGGGTGAAGGGGGCAGCCCTGGCTGAGATCTCCTGCTGCCCCATGTGCCTTGGCTCCCTTAGGTTAGGATCTGAACCTCAACGGTTGTCCACCCTCATGCTTCAGGGTGTGGGGGTGAATAGCCGTGTGAGGGGTCAGGAAGGAGATATAAAATCACACACATCCACACACCCCTAATGCAAATACACTGGGGGGGTGGGTCCATTTGTGATGATTGGGGGGGAGTGGGGTGGAGGCACCAGACCACTTGTCTGTCTTGGGAAGGTAGGGAAAAGGCAGGGGTGGGGGAGGGGACTGGTCTGGATGTGGGGACACCCAAACTCCTTTGGCAGGTCACGTGACTGCTTTTGTGTGTCACATGACTGCCGTCCCCCAAGCCACCTCCCGCCACACGGCCCCTCCTTGCTTTCCCAGATCTCCAGCACCTCCAACTGCACTGATTACCAGAGCCGGCGCTTGAACATCATGTACTGCGACCGGACAGGGCAGCTCCGCTACGCGCATACGGTGAGCGCCCGGGGCGGCGGGGAAATGGGGAACATGCACACACCCCAAAGGAAAACCCTAGGGGAGAAGGAGTGAGGGGTGTTTCAGGCGATTTCACGGGAGCTTCAGATCTAGCAGGGCTTGGGTGGGAGACCTACCAGAGCCTGGGTGCTGCACCTCAGCCCTGGGCGAGGGGTCCCTGTATAAACAACCCCCATTCCCCACCCCAGAGGTGGCTGCATCTCAGTGCTGGGTGAGGGGTCCTTGTATAAACAGCCCCTGTGCCCCACCCTAGAGGTGGCTGCATCTCAGCGCCGGGCGAGGGATCCTTGTATAAACAGCCCCTGTGGCCCACCCTAGAGGTGGCTGCATCTCAGTGCCAGGCGGTGGATCCTTGTATAAACAGCCCCCATGCCCCACCCTAGAGGTGGCTGCATCTCAGCGCCGGGCGAGGGATCCTTGTATAAATGGCCCCTGTGCCCCGCCCCAGAGGCAGCTGCATATCAGTGCCAGGCAGTGGATCCTTGTATGAACAGCCTCCGCCCCAGAGGGGGTTGCATCTCAGTACCAGGCCAGGGGTCCCTTTGTCTGTCAGGTTGGATCATGCAGGGGGAAAGTTGCGTGTTAATAAATCCACCTGCCTTGGGGGCGAGCAAACGGGGTGGATTCTCATGGCTACAGGTCCCGGAGCTGCTCAGGAGGCCAGCAGCGACGGGTCACTGGCTGGTGACTAGCTGTGGGGAGGGTGGGACTAACCCGCCCCCCCGCATCCTGTCATTCGTTCTGTTCTTCTCCCCAGGTCAACGGCACGGCCTGCGCCGTCCCGCGGGTGCTGATCGCTCTGCTAGAGTCCAACCAGCTCCAGGTGCGCTCCCGTCCCGCCAGGGGGGACATCCGTACCCCATGTGCCCTGCGATCAGCTCCTGGGCTTGGCACCTCCTGGCCTGGGGGCAGCTGTCCCCACTGACCAGCAGCAGCGTGGAGGGGGCTGGGCCACACGGCCCGGGGAGAAAGGGCAGCGTTGTGGCAGCCTCGGTTTCTCTGCCCCAGCCGGGAGTAGAGAAGAGGGGAGGTTCCCCACTGAAACGGAGCCAGGCTGGGGTTGAATGTAGCAGGCACTTTCCCGGTTCCCGTTTCAGGCCAGACAGGGCCGACCTCCTGCATCACACGGGCCGTTAAGCAGCGCCCGGAGATCACTGGACTGCGCTCGCAGCATGGGGCAAGCCAGAGCGTTTGTCCCCGAGAGCCAGGTGCCCCTGCACTTGCAGGGAATGGATGAGGGGAGATCTCCCCAGAT